GACATTGATAGATGTACATGTACCGGTCATTGATACACGTACCTGTACCGGACATTGGTGCATGTACATGTATGCATGCCTGGGGTTGATTTATAAAGTGTACAAGTCTGCTAATTCGAAGTTGCATGTTAAAGGAAGATCTAGAAAAAAAGTTGGTTTGGTTTCGATCTGTTTGTTATACATGTCCCAATATCCGGTACATGTACGGGTATCAATGTCCGGTGCATGTACATGTACCGATGTCCGGTACATGTTCGTGTATCAATGTCCGGGACATGTACATGTACCCGACATTGATACATGTGCATGTACCGGACATTGGTACGTGTACATGTACCGGAGATTGATACATGTACATTTACCGGACATTGATAGATGTACATGTACCGGTCATTGATACACGTACCTGTACCGGACATTGATGCACGTACATTTACCGGACATTGGTACGTGTACATGTACCGGACCTTGATACATGTACATGTTCCTGACATTGATACATGTGCACGTACCGGACATTGATCCATGTACATGTACCGGACATTGATACACGTACATGTACCGGATATTGGTACATGTATAACAAACAAATCGAAACCAAACCAACTTTTTTTCTAGATCTTCCTTTAACATGCAACTTCGAATTAGCAGACTTCAATTGAGAAACCTTTCATAAAAAATATCAATTGATAGGGAAATTCAGGGAAATAAGAAGAACAAACTAGAAATTTGTCAAAATGACATGAAAGTCACCCCATCATTATGTATGATCATTTTCCGATAAATCATTGACCAAGCTACAACTGATATTTTTACACCTGTCAATCAAAATGGTAAACAATGACCAGGTGTAAATACATACACACTATTCAGGTAGCCATGCCAACACATGGAATTAATAAAGAAAGCATGTCGGAAATATAACGATTAATAGCGTTGACTGACACCTCGAATACGGGGAGATCTGCGCGCTGACACGGTCACCTGGCATGGGCAGAACAGGTTATTGGAACATTACCATGCTGTTTCCACAACAATACGTTTCAGAAAAGATTCAATCATACATACGGATAAATCTTTTACTTTTTTTGTCATGAAACATACTTTTCCAAACAGTTTTCTTATCGTCTGCAAATCCGACTGAATCGGTCATCAGTGTGTAGACCACTTAAAGGCAGTCACTCACACAGGTCCGACGAGGACCGCCAACAGCCGAATTCGCGAGACATGAAGAACACCAAACAATTGTGACTCATAATTCACATTTGAAAAGAAAAGATCAATGTATTTGGCTGTTTTGAACCCGTTAATATTTATTGTTCAAACTCAAGCTTTTATCATTATCGGTTCAATTCGCATGGATGTCACTTGTAAATTCCTGCCGGTTATTAGTATCACGTGACACTGACTCTTTGCGGTACACAAACTTGCCAACTTCGCCACTTGACCCATGTCGTTTTGACACATTCCCACTGTCAAGATTGAATAGTTCAGCATGATTTTACCGAAGGACGACATTTTAACCCCAGAATGCTAAATAGGATGCAAGTCTTCGTTATGTTTCCCCAAACGTGGTATTTATCAATTCACAACGTAACGTCCTGAAAAGTTAGGCCTACTTTACTCGAGTTTATTTATCCGATTCTATTTCAGTGGTGGATCCAGAAACCTATCTGGGTTTTTTCCAAATTGCCAGTGTGTTGGGTGTTGGAGTGTTGGGGGGGGGTTCCATGTAAGGAAAAATTGAGGAAAATGGTGAACATACATGGGGTTTTTTTCTTGAAGCCCATAAAGCCCCTCTTGATCCGCCACTGTATCGTACAATACGACTTAAACTTGCAACTTTTCGTATTTGTTAAATTGACAATGCAATCCGGGGTTATTCAACGAAATTTAGCAGTTGATTGCTGCGAGCATATTTCAAAACATTTTCGAAAATCCTCGAAAAATTTATGATGAGTGGTCGCGAATAATAACTTGTCCTGGATTATTTTTCAGTATCGTGTACACCCCTTTCTTGACACTTCATTTTTCCTTAAAAAATGTGCAGTTAAACGCAAATATTAACGGTAGTCGTTGGTCAGAAATAAAATATCTAAATAAATCAATAGCAATGTATAAGATGACAGTTTATCCACTTCGGGAACCTCAAAGGTGCCTTATTCATACTCGGAACATCTTTAGGTTATATGTAATTCCCGTGTGAAATTTGGAACGCCTTTAAGTTTTATCATATTCCTGTTTAAAAAGGAAATCGAAATCTCAGTTATTCAAGAGCTTGTAATTAGCCCCTGGTATATTCCGACAGAAGCAAGCACTTAACAGCGCAAGGCAACAGAGGTCAAAATCTGGGACTGAAACCGATATTAATAGTCCCCACTGGGGTTACCCCAGGGGTGACTAAAAACTGAAATTGTTTGCAGTATTTGTGACTTTTTGTCATAAAATAAGAAACAGTTCATTTAAATTATTGATTTTCTGTCAAGGATACATTAAGGGTGCATTTAATGGGATGTATCAATTAAAATGGGGTTAGAGGGGTAGGGGACTGGACCATGATCCCGCAAAATCACACGCACCTGTTGGACACCAATTAAAAACTAGACTCAGAGCTAGCACGGAAGCAGGAATTATTTAGAAATGCGAGGCGTTACTACATGAAAAGATTTGGTTGAAATAAAATAAATTAAAAGCTCCTTTGTAACATAAAACCTATTCATTGTAACTGAGAATTCAATATAACCTCAGAGCACTTCAATACTCCAATAGTGTGCCTTGAAAAGAGAGAGAGGGAGGTGGTTATCCCATAACCCCCTGAGACGGTCTTTCCACCTTCGGCATAAGCAGATATCACGATCTAGAAACCAGCAGTCCTTCGTCGACACTTATACTTTGTTGACATTAATTAGTTTATACAGATACAGGTACAAATATTTTATTTGAGTCTCACCTTTCGCATACAAATTTACAAGCAAAGACATACATGATGTACTCATGACACTTGGCATGAAAAGAATGACGAAAGCCACTCTTAAAAGAGTTATGAGAGCCTACAGTTAATGACGTAAAATGATATTGCTTATTAAAACACTACGTTATAAAATCAGCCTATCACTTCAAAAAGGATCAAGGAAAATCAGTAATAATAAAATACGATTAAACTGTGCTGGGGTGTAGGTATACGTAGTCTATGCGATTGTCCATCGGTGACCAGATAATAAACTTATAAACATAAAGGTTTAATCGTATTTTATTATTATTTCCTTTACTGTTTATAAGTTTATTACCTGGTCACCGATGGACACGTATACCTACACCCCAGCACATGTGTCATGCATAGCCGTCGCCTCTTAATACATTGTAAATCCATAGTTAAAGCACACACTAATTAATTGTCTATTGTTAAGAGTATTATCTGGTCACGGGCGGCCGATTGATTCCTCCTGGAAGATTTAGACTGCATTACCACTGTCTCTCCTTTATGTTTATTACATGTACATGATAAATTAGCCACTTTCCATAGTATCATCATTATATGAAGCAAACGTTTTTCAGGTCAACCACGACAAATTGTCGACTATTTGCATTGCGTGTGTCCAACATGTATTATTTTCATTCCAATAACTTCCCATACTTGAGAATATCCAAACTTTATTGGGATACTCTGGGCAAATTATAATGTAGTCCCGGGTAAGACGCCGGGCTCACAACCGAAGGGTTGCAGGTTCGAGTCACGTCACGGCACTATGTTTTATTCGCTTGTTCATCTACGCAGCTTAAGGACTTCCCACCCTTCGTAATACACATGCTTTTCTTGGCGTAGTTTCGTGTCGTCATTTCCGTATTGCGTACCGGGCATTCCATTACCGTAGTGTAAATTATAGTAACACCGGGTAAACATTAGTACACGTGCGTGACGATGATATGTCAACACCCAATATCGCGACTAACTTGGAAATGTGTAATCATACGTACTTCAGAAATAAAGCTTATGATACAAAGACATTAATTAACTCACGGGAAAACAGTGACATAAGATCAGACGACTTCAAGAAGGTCGTATATGAATATGAATATATAAATAATATACAAAGAAGAGTCTATTTAGCTTCCGGATTTCTTGTCATTAAGCAGATTGAGAGATGATATATATGTTATTGATTCTATTGAATTGATTATCTCTCAGCATATTTAATTTTGATTTGGAAGCGGATTCTGTGAAAATCGGTCCCCCGTGAAATGGAGATCTTTCTCTAATCACCGGCTACATTATGCTTTACCTAGTTTAAATAAGTATCAGTAACTATGGCATCGTTTCCACTAGCATTGTGTAAATATAATCTCACTAAACCGACGTCAGATTTCGTCCTTGTCCATTTTATTTTTGTAATCTGGCCTAGTTTCCAGTCTCATCCCTTCCTTATACAAATTAATATACTTTTATAAATCTTGATGTTATCATTGTATGACTGGCAGTCTCTAAGTTTCGAGCATCGGACCACAGGAGTTCGCTACAAATGTCTATAATACACATATGTCATATTAATATGGGTCACAGCACACAAAAAACATACACAAGGCGAGCAGCTTCGTCAGAACACTACCGGTACCGCCAAATTTCAAATGGAGACTTTCAACACTTACTTTTGTTATATTGTCCAGGGAATTGCGGCAGTAGCATCGTTTTGAATCTTAATTAAGTAATCCGTGATGTTTAATTGTGTAATCAGTCGTCTACTACATCCACTCAAGCCCTTTCGTGTGCCTTGACCTATATCAGTATAATCATATGTATTTCGAGCCCCTGTGATCGGACCATCGATCTCCGATTCCTCCCGTTTTGACATCGATCATAATGAATACATTTCCATTACCCATTTTGTCGTCCCAAACTTGAGATAGATAATTTTGATTCTGCATGGCAAAACCTGTATCCTCTGAGCCACCGACACAAGTAGGGGTATGCCTAGTGGCCGATGGATATGAGATAACAAGCTTACCTGATCAGCAGTGACCGCTCGTGTGTTGCGGTGATATAATCTAGGTGCTTCAAACTCTTTCTAAACTCAATGTGATTATTCAAACGCACGAGAAACCCAGACTGATCACAGGGGCACGGTTCAATGTATCTTTCTGTCTGTTTCTGTTTCGTGCGTTGTAGATCCCGGCTCCGGTTTTTATGCAACGGGAGAGAGAGAGAGAGAGAGAGCAGTTCAATTATGTTTTTGGTGCGCTATAGCACTCTTAATTAAAAGCCTCCTAAATAGGGTCACATACTAAATGATCTTCCAGGTGGTTCCACAATTCACAGGCATTTGTTTCTGCCAATAAAAGTAGTCACAAGAAAAAAAATCACACCCTACTCATAAAATGTACCATTTTTTTCTGAGCAGGACGTGCTTTTTTCGCGTGACTAATTTTTGTTTTGACAGAAACAAATGCCTATGAGCTGGAGGTAGACAGCTGGTAACAACCCCTCAATTACCTTATACATGAACGTGACCCTCTGTTGTTTTCGTCCTTGAAGCTCCTTGTGACACATCCATCTTCCCTGGACTTAAAATCACTTGCAATGAATCTGGCTGCCAAGCGCTATATTCTTAACAGGATTTCAGTTTTGATTTTTGGTATATGGTTCCCAAATAATGGCGCCGTATTCAAGGATATATCGTACTAGGTATATATGCAGTTTTCTTACAAGACGATGGGCACTGTTTTATATTTCTTTTAAGAAAGCCAAGGGTCGAGCTGCTTTTCGCTTTTCTTTATATTTTTAGTATGTGGGTGTTAAATTAACCATTTTAATAATGAGGCCTCCTTGTTTACCATACATAAGTTTGTATGGTAAACAAGGCCTCAGATATAAATTGATTAATTGAACCGTGTCCTTGTGGACTGAACGAAAACGAGGTATGGTTTTAATCAGATTAAAATGACCCCCCCCCCCCGACATGACAATACTTGGCAGATGTGTTAATTGAAACTTAGTTCGGAATCATAGTTTATTAACAAGATTATGTTAAACTGACCCTAACAGAATATGAACATATATATATTATTTCTAATGAACAAATAAAAACAAAAAGGATTGTGTCTGCTAGTTACCTACATTAATCATAATATCTTGACTATTTTATATGTTGAATAGTTTACACAGATATCCCAATCATCGCCAACTTAAAATTGAAAGCATTGGCGCGTGCTAAACGGGAAAAAAATCATATACAATGAATGTGTACCACACATTTGGGCCAGCGGCAGCCTTTGACCTCGAGACTGAACGCTCGCACGCGCACTGATTGACTTTGACCACGTTTAACTTTTCAATCCCCGGACGATGGGTTGTGATTTCTGTTCCATTCCTGCAAGATATGGAATGGTCTGTTATCTCCCCACTTTTCTTCAAAACCAAATGTTGAAAAAAAGAATTGACACGCATGTACGCTATTTTGACGATATTTTGTATCCTAATGATTACACGATAGAGTTATTCACAATCATATTACAAAATAACACACAGATATATACTTAGCTTGACATGTAAATCTACAGTGGGTACACACATATACACATGCTGATATTTCGTGTTTGTTTGACTCTACCTTTGAAATTTTTGGAAAAAAAATCCCCCCGGGAGAGTGGATATCGCTGTCCAATGGGAAAGACCGATTATGATGAGCCTTTAAATTATACCCTCCGACCGTCCGGAGATGGACTTCTGTTATCTAAGACGGTACAGACACACCCCGCTGGACATTTTTAGTTTTGGTCGGGGTCGGCGTGATTAATACGTTTAAACTTGTTTCTTATCTGTTAAAAAAATGAACAACCTATACGCTCAGCATGGTCGGAGTGGGGGATAAGAGGGGTCAATTAAAGACACATCACGTGAAGAGCCATATTTTGTTTAATGAATGTATATATTGTATGCACTTCCACTTATGTTATATCGCTATCCCCATATTCATAGTCCGTTCCAAATATCCAGTTTGACCACTTGAATTGTTCGGGAAAGCCCTGCTAAAAATAGCACCGATAACGTCACTTGACTAGCCAGAGACCAGTAATTATTCATCATCAGAAGTTAATTGCACACTTGCCAATATTCAGAATTTAAATTTATTAAGCTTTAAACATATTTGTTGCCAATACAATTTAACAAGGGATGGGACACACGTTTTTAGAATATATCACAGCCTTCTCCCGTCATACATTTACAATTAAATGTCAACAATGATAATAGACATAAAAATAAAGTAGATATATATAAATATATATTGAATTTATTACCGGAATGTGACCGGTACAATGGACAGTATAAAAAGGAATATTCACGAGACGAATATCCCTTTTCAAATGTTTTCATAATATGCATATATGCAATGACAAACTACACTCGTATAAAAAAAAAGAGAAACGTTTGTGATTTTTTTATTACATTGTACAGCTCAATGGCTATGGCCATTTAATTTTATAGACCATGCATATACATTTATGTATACTATCTTTCCCACTTTCACTGTCTCCATACGCTAACACTTAGTAAGTCATATTAGCCATCACACACAATAAACTGTATGGTAATACCACTACGTGTACAAGTAGAATATGTGTCAAATATGGAACGTGTTGAGATACGCTCGGCATGGTCGGAGTGGGGGATAAGAGGGGTCAATTAAGGGATCGAGTAGTTGCCCGCGCCCCCTCTCCCTGCCCGCCCCCACTCCTCTGGATATTTTTCGTCAAACCCTAACTTCCAACTACTTTCAGTTAAGTAGAGATGTATAAAACCAGTATAGAAGTCGCTTTAGTTTAAACATCAACACAGCTATGAAGCTAACTGTTGTTTCATATAATTATGGTTAAGAATTATTACATGGATGTACATTACATTATACAAACATTTATCATAAACACGTATGGCTACAGATGCAGTGTAGACTGGAAAGCATATTTCGTGTGTGGTTTGCTATGGTGAAAGACTGTTTGTGATCTTTGTGGCACTTTCTTTATCGACAACTTTTGCAGACGTAATTTTCACACAGGTTTGTCGTTACCCCATGCTTTGGTGTATCAGATTATACATATATAACATTCGAATCAAACTAAATAACGTACGTGTAATTGTTTGTTTTACAGCAAATGTTCAAAAGGAGATGAAATATGAAACTTGTGTTTGGAAAATATTGGCTATGAATATCATAATATTTATAAAACAAGTGAATGTGATGTGTTTGCATGGAGTATTGTTCCTGTATTATCTTACAAATCCAACTGAAATGATGCAAGCGAATTCCGTGTTATTATTGTTTTATATCTCAAACAGATATAATTCTTATGATATTCTCTTTAGTGGAATTATTTCATAATTATAAACAGTATTTGTATGAATGATATTGAAGCCGGAGCGTTTGTTATATCACGGACTTAGATAACATGATGATTGAAGCGGCGGGTTTTCCCCCCAAATCACGTAAATTCTCGCGCTTTCTCGGAGTTTCTCGCAACATCAAAGTGCACAGCACATAATACCTATGCCGAAGAGGCAGTTGCCTTTCCCTCTAATCTAATTGTAATTGCATGTATATATCTTTGCTCCCTGTTACGCTTAATCATATTCATTGCTGTACCCACGGACTTAGATAATCCAGGGATGTGTAGTGGAGGGATTTGCAACTCCGAGTCCAGTCGCGAACACTTATCGTCGCTTTTGTGTTTGTTCACTGGACCGTGAAGTCATCGAGTGCCTACTCTGGCCGGTCTGCGCTTGCGCGCTAGTGTCAGGTTATACTCGCACGTTCTTCCGGTGTCATGTCAACACATCGCTGAATCGAAGTGTTGTGATTGCGGTTATCCAAGTTTACTGGGCTGTGTATTAGTAGGTCTTCATTTTATTACAGGAGAAATGTTATCGTTGCCTCCATGTCTAGCTGTACAGTAGCTGTGTCTGGAGATATTATCGTCTGTATCTTGAGTTTGTGCTATATTTTGGTTTGGACTCTGAGGGAGTCGGTTCATTGCATTTCACGATCGGATACTTCAGCGCTTTTAAAATTGTCTCATCATGAATCACACATCATGTCAACGTCTGATTTTCTGTCTTGGGATGATGACATAGATTTAGAACACGTGCTTGGAGAGTTTACAGAATATAGTGAGTCGGACATTTCAGACGACGATTTTGACAGGGATGTGTAGTGGATTAGTAGTCAATATATTAAATTGTACACCCCTGTAATCGCGCAGATTCGGCAGTCAAATAAGTCGGCATACAGTTCAGAGTAACATTACATAAAAAATACAAAAATAAAATTGCTTGTTTGTATTACGTGCCATTTTCATTAGACCATTTCCCACAAGTGTCCCGGATTGGGTACCGTCCCAGATTGGGTACCGCCACAGTACTGTAGTACTGTAGTGGTCAGTTTCCAGACCAATACAAATATAAACACTGACATACCACAAATAACACCTGCAAAAATTACTCATCTTTTTAATATATTGATATCCCACGTTTGAAAAATGGTGGAAAATAGGCCTATTGGAAGAAAATTTGATCTAAACAGCGAGATGACAACATGGTTTCACTGAAAATGACGCCATTTCCGACGCAAAGTGATACAAACATTAGCTCTTTTTGAAACAAAAATAACCCAAATTATTAATAACTCTCCGCCATAAGACTACTCCCTTACATTTTTTTTTTATTAAGCTTTACATTGCCATTAATTTTGAAAAGCTTGATTAAATACTTTGGAAGAAATTTGAAACACAAAATGGGTGGTAATGATATTTTTTCCACCCAACATTTTCAAATGTATACAAAAAAGTTCGTAACATAGCGGGCATTTCCTGACCAATAAAAAAAAAAATACTGACAGAGGACAAATAAACTCAGGTCTACACAATACAAAAAATACTCATCTTTTTATTGATATCCGTTGTTTGAAAAATGGTGGAATTTATTGGAAGAAAATTTGATCTAAACAGCGAGATGACAACATGGTTTTTACTGAAAATGACGCCATTTCCGACGCAAAG